CCAGTGAACCTTCTTTAACTCTCCTTGGTCCCGGTAAACCTCTTTCAATTCTCATTTGTCCCAGTAAGGCTACTTTAAATCTCCATGGTCCCAATAAACCTCCTTTAACTCTCCTTGGTCCCTGTAACCTCCTTTAACTCTCCATGGTCCCAGTAAACCACCTTTAACTCTCCTTGGTCTCATGTTAACCTTCTTTAACCCTCCTTGGTCCCAGTCAACCTCCCTTAACTCTCTTTGGTCCCAGTAAACCTCCTTTAACTCTCCTTGGTCCCAGTAAACCTCTTTTAACTCTCTTTGGTCCCAGTAAACCTCATTTAACCGAAGTTGGTCCCAGTAAACCTCCTTTTAACTCTCCTTGGATCCAGTAAACCTCCTATAACCCTCCTTGGTCCCAGTAAACCTTCTTGAAGGTTCCTTGATCCGAGTGAACCTTCTTTAACTCTGCTTGGTCCCAGTGAACCTCCTTCAATCCTCCGTGGTCCCTGCTTATCTTGCTAAAATCTACCCTCTATCTATTTTAAACTCATAAAGTATCAACCATCCTTCTTTCATACAACCATAAACCCTAATTTTCGCTCAAATAAAAACCCTTTAAATCTATCGAGTACCATTTAGCCCCGCGTGTTGCCATTTTCTGTTTTGCGCATATGCCCAGTAAAATTCCAAAACAGAGAGAGGGCGATTGAATTTTGTAGATCCAGAAAAATAATTAAATTAGAATTTATTTTGGATTAGGTTAGGTTAAGACAATTTCTGGGTCGAGCGCTTTGGCTAGGACAGGCTAGGAGGCCGAGCGCTGCCACCATGGGTTAGGTTAAGTTATGACACTTTCTGGGCCGAGCGCTGCGGCTAGGACAGGCTAGGGGGCCGAGCGCTGCGGCCTCATGTCTTACATTTAAGACCCCACCATCTGCCAGTCTCTACGCAGGCATTCCACAAATATTATTTTTCTGGATCTACAAAATTCAATCCCCCTCTCTCTGTTTTGGAATTTCACGGGGCATGTGCGCACAACAGAAAATGGCAATGCCAGATTTAAGTGTAGTATTTTGACTAATTCCCTTCATGTTGATATTAATACGCAATTAAAGATAATCAATTTTAAGATAGAAAAAAGGGGATAGCCCCCCACTTTAAATTTTCCAGGCAAAATTTGTTGCATAAGACATGCTAGGTCGACACTACACTTAGTAGCCTGACTGGACAGTAGGAGTTGTACCGTCTTGGATTATGCAACCTTTAGATATATGTAAATGGAGGGTCACTTAATAATACGTCTACAGTTCCTTTTAACTTTATCCNCCATGTAAGATATTTCTTATCAAAGAATAATGTCATGAATTATCAGTATAATGATATGGTTGATGTTAACCTATAGAAGCTTGTATGTGAGCATTGAGCAGGCAACCTTGCTACTATATAGTATCTTAAGATATTTAAACCAAAAGTATTTGTAACATGTTAAAATTGAAGGTTCTGCAAATATACTTTTTACCGACCTTCCATGTCCGATTTATGATTGATACTCTTAAAAGCTTTGTGTAATAAAGTTTTAATTAAATGCCCATGTTTACAATGTTGAAAACTGATTATTTTCAATTGGGGTTTCTCTACACTGCTGGAAAAATTATGGTAGAATCTATCAGAATTAAGCTTGCTTCAAGATGAGAAGCTTCCGATATTATTGTTGAGGTCAAGATTTCAAGGGTAAATGTAAATCGGGCATTTCCCTCTTTTGGGTCACTTGAAAATACACCTGCAGTACCCATAGATAAATAAATAAACATAGATAGCTTATGTACGAAAAATCACCAAGAATTGTACAGTCCGCGAACTCATACTTCTAGGGGTTAAAATGTACTTCAATGATAAGCGGGGTGGTTTGGTGTTTTAATGGATTTCATAATTATTAAACCACTCAGGAGTAAATTTTATTTTGAGAATATCAAATTATTTCACTTTGCAATATATCATATTGACGAGAAATGAAGAAGGACATAAGAAGGACTAAACTAACTTAAATTTCTCTCTACAGAACTCATGTACACCACATGTACTCAATGACATAAGAACAGCCAATGTTCACAACCGACCTAGTTAATCATATATAATAGGAATATCTTAAAACATCTCTGTACATTTACATCTTTCAAGATGAAAAATTTCGTCTTATGAGTAATCTATCTTTATCTATGGCAGTACCTTTAACAACTTGTGGGTTTCATAAAATTAAAGATCTGGATATTGTGAGGAACTCGGGCTAAATTAATTTCAACTTTCAATTGGGTTTTTACATTTTCCGAAGAAAAATAACAATTAAGGAGAGTTAAAGGAGGTTTACAGGACCAAGGAGGGTTAAGGAAGGTTTACTGGGACCAAGGAGAGTTAAAGGAGGTTTACAGGACCAAGGAGGGTTAAAGAAGGTTTACTGGGACCAAGGAGAGTTAAAGGAGGTTTACAGGACCAAGGAGGGTTAAAGAAGGTTTACTGGGACCAAAAAGAGTTAAAGGAGGTTTACAGGGACCAAGGAGAGTTTGACCCCCCCCCCCCATCTTAAATCCTGAAGCCGCCATTGGATCCTATACAGTATTCTGTTAGACCTTTTTTATACTTTAAATTCAAAATTATTTTTTTTTTCGTTCTTTAACTCCTTGGATTCTATTAGTGCTTTTTCTCAATCTTTTTCTATAGACAATAGTCAAATGTAGGTTTTTAAGATAAATTTAATTGTACAAAAAATCTAACCTTTCAGGGTTCTTCCGGTTACCTTAGGTAACAGATTCATGAAGAGAATGACATATTTGGCGTAAAGCCTTAAAAGATAATTGAGTATCATGGTTTTGCACCATGTCTCCTTTTACAAATACTACTAAAATAATACCGTAGTCCTGTTTTTTTTGTCAATTGATTATAAAACTGAAGAACTAGAAATTCTGTAGTAAGGCTGCTATATTTTACAGTCTTGCAGTATGTTTCAGCTTGTGAAGTATTTCACTCAATAATTGGCAAAACCTCGTTATTTGTTGATGTTGATGGAAGACGACAACCTAGGCTGCTTTTTCACATTCGTTAACACTGTTCAACGCATTCAGAAAAAGCATGATTTTTGATAATTTTCCATCGTTTTATGCTCAATTTAGTATTTTCAATGCTTATTTCCCGTGATATCCTACCATTTGTTGAGCATTAAAGAATAACACTTTATGTCTGCCAATGACAGGTAGAATCCGACCTTACAGTTTATTTGTTCAGCTTAGGCCTTTAAATGGTGTTTTATGCAGTTGTTAGAAAAACAGGAATACGTAATTTTATATGAGAATTTATATTGGAGTACAGGGGCAAAACTAAATCATCTTTTGAGGATGGACACCAAATGTTTCGTTCTCTTCGTAAATATTTTACCTAAGGTACCCAGGAGAATCCAAAAAGGTCAGACTTTTTGTACAATTGAATTTATCTTAAAACTCTATATTTGACCTGTGTATATTTTATTGTGAAATTCTTTCTTTTATGCTTATATATAAATAAACGATCTCAAAATATTCTTCATTTATTTGATTAACTCTGTTATATGTTAAATACAAATTGTGATTGAAAATCACTGCTTTCTGGGAAAAGTCCGCGTACTGTTAAATTAGCTGTGGCGTACATAGGGGGGGGGGGCAGTCCTCTTGGCACCCCATGGAAAATACCAAATTAAAAGGAAACAAATTTAAAAAATAACACCTAACAATGACAGGATTTGTCTAAATTCAAAATTTTAAGATACTTTAAACTAAAACTTTTGCAAAAACGAGACCTACAACATTTGGTTTCAAAGATAAAGGGATTAGAAAATCAGAGTTTGTGGCAAAGACTCTATTCTCCTTTATTTCCATAAAGAGATTTTAAGCGTAATTTCAAGTTCCCCTTTATGCAATGATGACAATAACATTGAATGAAGGAAAGAGAAGTTTTAGCCTTCTAAAGAGAATACTTCATTACACATGTACTATGACGAAGAGCAGATGTAACGATCTTGCAGTTATGGTTCACTACTGAGAAAATCATTGAAATGTTTGTGTAAGCAAATCCCAGAAAATTGAAGTTTAAAAGAGTTGGTGAATATGTAGATGGAGTAAATTCTATCTAAAAATTTTAGAAGAAATTTCGTTCTTTCGTTTATTAGTGAAAATATAATTTTTTAATGATGCTGTGATTATTGATTTAGTTAGCTGTGATGGAGTAAAGTGATAAAGGAATTGAGTCTAATTGGAACAAAATCAAATATTTAAACCCCAATATCTTTAGAACCCGAAGTTGTAAACCTTTGATATTTCAAACTCAGACCATATGATTTAACAGAACTCATAGTTTGAAATATTTGATTCCAAAGATACATGTGATTAGAAAAGACTCAATTCCTTTATAAATTTATAAAGTTAAAAAGTTAAAGTTAGTTTTCGAGCAAAGGAATAATTTTTAGACACCCAAAAATGTAGTCTTTTTGATGTATTTTTATGGTGTTAATTGACTTTTTGAACAAAACAATTCCAGGGGGAGGGCAAAAAACAGCCAGGGGGGGGCAAAAACAAATTTTTCCGCGCTACGCGCGAATCTTGCCCCCCCCCTGGCTAAAATCCTGTGTACGCACCTGTAAATTCGCGTGGTTTTTTCGTAAATTCCTTGAGCATATTTTGGCCCCTCAGCAAATGTTTTAAATGGTGGCCAAACACATTAATCGGATAAGGAAGAAAAGAAATAGAAATGATTTTTTACCCTTTTAAGCAATTCGTTCCATATTATCTTTACTGGACTCTAATCCTTTGGCTTTGGTGTCTCTCTGTGGCCCGACTCGCCTTATTTTCCTCGGTCCGGTCCGCCCTATTTTGCAGACCTAAGGTCCGTATCTTCTTGGCCCGGTCCGAATTCTCCTTTGTGACACGGCCCGACCGTACCACTGATCGCACTACTGTCCGTCTCTTTCTTAAACATCTCGTTTCGGTTAGTTTATGGGCGACCGCTCTCATGAGAAGATTTCATGCCAGATTTGTGAAAATGCGTGAAATTAAATAAAATTCTAAATTTGCACAGAGCACTTTACAAGTGACACGCTGGCAGTGAATTAGGCCTGTAAGCACAATGTGAAAGCTGAAATCAGCTTGAAAAGTGAAAAATTCAACAATTGGAAAAAGTGAAGATTGAAAAATTGCTAACTGGAGGTTTTACACATTTTTAAAGAAATTAAAATTGGTTGATTTAACAAGGGCTAAAATGGTGTTCAGAGGTTTCAGCATAGCTGTTGCCGCCGCACTGCTCATTTATGCCCCCGTCGCCCCCTGTCCCTCCCCCTGTACATGCAGGTAGAATTTTAACTTAATAAATTTTTAAAAATTTTGAAATCACAACTAAAGAGAAAATCTGAAAAAATGTAATTTCAAATTATCCCAGAATTAAATATGGAACCTAACATGGTATTCTTATATCTGAGCAACAATTAGTGGAAAAATATGGTTGTTTTTCTGGCCTAAATAATGTTGAATTTTTTCAATTTCCTTTAATATTTTGCACTATGTATCATAATCTCACTTTCATGGACACAACTAAAGTTAAAAATCAGCAATTAAATTGTCAAACCAAAAATATTTTTGACATTTTTGCTCAGACGAAAAAATTGTATCGTTGTGAATTCCATGTGTCACTCTATAAAGAAATTGTCGCTTGCAATTACACATGCATAAAAGTTAATATTTCCAACCTCTTTTAATAAAAAAGCAATTCCAAAAATTGCTATAAAACAACAGCAATATAAATAAAAATTGAAGTGCACTTGTGTAAAGATGATATTAGAATTTACAGTGGACCCCATAAAACTATGGATTAATAAAACGACACTTAAACAATCTGACGTTGTATGTAACAAAGAAAATAGTTGGTGTCAACTAGTGAAACGGGTTTGTGTACACTGCGCATAATTGCTGAGTTTCATGTTCTATTGACAAATCGTCTTTCTATTCCACAGTTTTTTTGTTCCTGAGTCTATCAAAAGAAACTATTTGAGTATTTTTGCGAAATCCTTATTTTCTTGCTTTAATTGTAAATTTTCATCTAAATAACCTTAAACCGGGATTTAATCGATATCGATGTAGTTTTAATCTTTTTTTGGAGCATGGAAGGTTTTTTTAAATTAAATTTTGGGAGTTATTTTCCATGTTATCATTGATAAATTTCAATTTAACATTCTCAGTAATTTAATATGTTTTAGAAGTTGATATTTCCCAATACTTTAGGTGTAATACTGTTGATATTTCCCAATACTTTAGCAGAAATACTGTTGATGTTTTCCAATACTTTAGGTGTTATACTGTTGATATTTCCCAATACTTTAGGAGTAATACTGTTGATGTTTTCCAATATTTTAGCAGAAATACTGTTGATATTTTCTAATATTTCGTTCAGGAGAAATTCAGTTGATATTTATCAATATTTCAAGTAAATAATGTTAATATTTCTCAATATTTCAGGAGTCATTATATAAATATTTCAGAAGTAATAATGTTGATATTTCTCAATATTTAAGGAGTATAATATAAATATTTCAGAAGTAATACTGTTGATATTTCTCAATATTTAAGGAGTATAATATAAATATTTCAGTAGTATTACTGTTGATATTTCTCAATATTTCAGGAGAATAATATAAATATTTCAGAAGTAATACTGCTAATATTTTTCAATATTTCAGGAGTAATGATATAAATATTCCAGAAGTAATACTGTTTATATTTCTCAATATTTTAGGAGTAATTATATTAATATTTCAGGAGTAACACTGTAGATTGCTCGAATTCTGGCTTAAAAGAATTTCCGTCTGATATACCGAGGGATACGGTCAAACTGTGAGTAACTTTTTAAATCTTTTATCATTTGAATCTAATTTCAAATTTATTTAGATTAAAATTTTCTCTAAATATTAATAATTTTCTTTCTAAACAGTGTAAAGATTTTTTTTTACAGAAAGCGACTATATTAATACTATGAACCTTCGCTCGTTTTTGAAAAAATTGCTCATCTATATATATAATAAAGCTCCTCGCTCTCATTTATATTTTAGCTATTATACCCTAAAGGTGACAAAGGCTATTTTTTTTATAAATTACAAATTATAGAATGACGTTTAGAATAAACGATAAAAATACATTAAAGGGACGTAGACGAAATTTCAAGGAACACTTCATATTTAGAGTGTTCCATTCATGACGTTGTCCTGAAACACTTTATCTGCTTAATTAAATGAGATATTAATGATTTCCCCTTGAACATTGGTTATTTCCAATTGTGGGTTCTCTATTAAAAAAAAAATTGCGAATCTCTTGCTGCAGAAACAAATTGTGAGAATTAATCAATTTTCAGGCTAGAAAAACGATATTATTTCTTTCCATTTTGAATCCTGCATTGGCCTCTTTAAATTGAGGGTCACTTGAAATTTCAAGGACAGTCCCTTTATTACTTTATGTTTTCTTTTGTCAAATAAATTCGGAAATAGTGAAGGAAATGAAATGATTTTACGCGGGTTAAAGGGAAATGAAAGCGTTTGAATGAAACCATAGAACTGGTCTACAGTTGGTCTACAGAACTAGAGACTCTTCTTATTTCAAGTATATGTGGTAAACTATTCTGGGTGCTGCCTCATGAAAACATTACTTTTTATGCACATTTTTTGTTTGTTCACATTGATATTTGATGCTTAAACTGCAGAAATCTCGTCAAAATAAACTATTTAAAATTTATCTCAATTTTATCACACTTGATAAGAATGCATGAACATGATGAAAGCCAGTGTAAATCCAATAATCCAATAGGTTTTACATTTTATATATAAATTTTCCATTACACGGTCAAATACATACTTAAAGTATGTATGGATGGGGTTTAGACCAGTTTTGGGATTTAAAACCTTGGTAATCCTTCAAATTTACACAAAAAAAGATACTCCGAATTCCGATCTTGATAAGAAATTTGGGATAATTTTAGGCTTATGAGAATATTAAATTTAATTTTTTGAATTTCGACAAAAATTCAAAACAGGGAATATTTTCTGTTTTTTTTTTTGGGGGGGGGGGTATATTTGTAGGATATTTGAGAAGTTAAATAGAAAATTTTCTTAGATAAACCTTTAATTGACGTCTTAAGTCTTTAAAGATTTCAGTGAAAAAAAAAAAATTTAATTACTTAACTATTTAAATTTTAAAAAAGTAGAAACTTACAAAATGTTTTTTAAAAATTTCTCTCTTTTTATTTATGGATATTCATTTAATATCTTTGTTTTAAAACTCTTTGATATAAACAGATTAAAATTCAATTTTAAATTCTGGTTAAACCACGAGCGCAATATATCACAAGGTAAACATTCGAGCACGTTAAAGGGACTGTAAGCGTAATTTCAAGTGACCCTTCATGCTAAGATGACAATTCCAGATTCACAATATTACCCTTAAAAGCTTTGTCTGATATGAATTAGATATGGGTATAAATTTGACAGTTTTTAAAAAATTTTTGTTTCTCTACAAAGCAAATAGATTCTAGTACAATAGATGGCAACGTAGAATTTGTACACTCTCAGTACACCTGTATTCTTACGTCAATTCAGTTTTTGTGTGCGACAAAATTATGAAATAGTGAGAATATTTTAAATAAATTTGTGCCTATCTTACAGTAAAATAAATTCAATTTCTTTTTTCTGTTTTTACGCTTTTTGATTTAATTTGGAAAACCTGTCAACTAATGTGAGACAATTTCGCTTTCCTTGTTATATTGACACTTGTGACGTCGTGTATAATTGGTCCATTTCTCTGTTGCCACCTATTATACTTAAAATTCTATTTGACACAAAGTGTCTTTTTTAAACCTGGAATTACGGCAATAACTTTCACATTTCAAGGATGCCGTTGTAAATCGGTCATTGCCATCTTTGCATTGAGAGACACTTGAAATTACGCTTACAGCCACTCCAGTATGCCGAGTTCATTAGCCCCTGATCCAATCAGGGTTCAGCCATGTTTTTGTTGTCTATTCTGAACCAAAAGAAATAGTTTGGCGGTAACATCTATCTTTCTATCTATCTCATTATCCAATCAGAGTTATGAATCATTCTATCAGCGCTATCAGTAAATGGAAATATTTACTTCTACTAAAACTATGGTACAGTCCCTTGAAATGTGCACGGAGCTGATCATGTTGATTACATATGCGCGTTCCATCGTCCTCAGCAGTTTGGAGAAATGAGCTCGGGACATTTCAGTTAAATTTTCCAGTCTGATAATTATTAAAACTAAAAACTTCTCAATAAAACACATTTGGTTTAAAAATTACCTATCGCATGCTCTAATAGTTAACTCCATGTATCTTTTTAAACTGATTTCGTATATCCTTGATATTTTTCTGTAATTCTGTTCTTCACAATAGCTCTTTAATGAGAGGAGATATATTTAAAAACAAAAAAGATTCAAATCTACTCTAGTTTGACGTCATTTGAAGTCTCCAAGATCAAAAAGTCAAGTTTTGAAATATCTATGGTTAATACCACCAAGCTACAAAGGGACCAGAAAACTATTGTTCACTAGACGACATTTCTGACTACAATCCCCATGTAGTGGATAGGGATGATATTGAATAGTTAAGCTAGCAGGAGGATAGGATATTAACTTGTTGGTTTAGGATAACCACCCTCCCCCCCCTCTTCATTATCCCCCCCTTCCTGTCATAAAATAATATTTGCCATCAACCTACAAGACTGTCCCTTCCTTTTCCTTTACCCTCCCCCTCATTTCTTCTCTCTTTATTTCTTCCTTAACTTTTTTCTCTCTTTCTTATACTTTCCATTTCCCATTCATCTAATTTCTTTCACTTTCTACTTCCCCCTTATCCCTTCTCCTTTCCTCTCACCTTCTCCTTCCTTTCTTCATACCTTCTCCTTTCTTCCTTTCTTTTCATATCCGCTCCTTTCCCCCCTCCCCCCCAAACTTTAGATCATGTGTGTGGTTTATTATTTTATTAAGAAAACGAAAAGTCATCATTTGAATTTACAATGCTTTAAAATATCAAAATATAAATTACATTATATATATATTTGGCTTGTCTGTTTGTTGAGATGTTTGTATGCTATAAACGTCAAAACAGCTGAACCGTTAGGGCCCACATTTTTTGTGGCAATTCACATGACAAATTTTATCTGGGAAAAATTCTATTTTTATGATTTTGAACAGAAAAATCCACTAAATTTTGAGTTTTATGATCTATTTAAAGAAATATTGCGACTTGAAAACCAACTTTAAAAATTGAAATTGTCACTAGAAAAGGGTGCGTAAAAATTTGATACTTATTTTTACTTTTTTTTTACTTTTGGGTTTTAACTTTTAGAAAAATGTGTCAGTTTTACTAAATTATGCTTGTATAAAATGTTATTTTTCAAATATTCATAAATCACATCAAATGGTTTCCAAACTCAACCCTCTTACTCATACAATGTAGAGGTTTAAAATATTTTGACGAAAAGATTATCTAGCATCAAATCTCAAGGTTTTATACTCGCTGATAGTTTGATATGAAGATCGGTATTCATATAAATCTCACGACATAGCCTCAAACAAGGAATATTAACTTCTTAATGGATTCAACTTCCTAAACTAAACTATAAAAGTTTTCAAATAAAATAGATTTTTTTTCTTTTTTTTACTAGTAATAAGATACATTAGGTTTGATTTCTTAAAGGTGTAATATTATATATTTAGTTTTAAAACACATAAAATACCTTTACAAAACAATAAACAAGCATATTTTTTTCTGTAAAGTATTCTTCAACATTTTGAGCATGTTTTAATAACGGTATTTTAAGCTTAAACAAGCGTTAACAAAAAGTTTCTATCTGCTTTATAGAGACTTGCTAAATTTATAAAAATTAGCTAAGTTTTATTAGTTTTTCTGTTGCTTTCAGGAAGGGGGGGGGCGGGGGGTAGAAATGCCCCCTCCCTTGTGAACACAATATAAAAGCACCGATGAGTCCCAAGGGAGTAGTATACAGATAATAAACCTCATTATATGTGTAGGAGGTATCCTCTGATCATTAATTCAGCCTATTCTTGTCCAAACCCGGCCATTTATCTCCACTAATCGATCAGCTCTAATCAATACAACTTTTTCAATTTATGGTCTTATTAAAAGGAACTGTAGACGATATTAAAATTGACCCTTGATTTTATAGAATGGTATTTTTGATTGATATGGGAACCTTTGAAATCTTCGTCTGATTAAATAGAAAAGAAAAGTGAAATTACGGGTTTTAGTGCTGAAGAAATGATAATGAAGTTTATTTGTTGTTGTGAATTTTGAACTTTTAAAGTTAGGAATACGACAATATCTACATAATTGTTACTCAGATAGTCGTGTAGTGGATACCTTCATAAATACGAAAAGCCACCTTGAAAAAGGAGGGGTCATTTCAAATTATGTTTACATTGCTATTCATGTAAAGCGACATTTAACAAGGAAAGGAAAAAATGTATAATAGACTTGCGTTGTTAAACAAATTCTATTATTTTTTGGCTTTACAATCAACATATATATAATATTTGATCATATAATCATCATTATTATGATATATCAGTTGTTTCTTGGCATTGTATGTATATATTGTGTAACTATATCATTGTTCATTAAAATTATCTTGACACGCTATTTTTTCCTAAAACAAAAAATATATATATATATGTATATATTAATATGTCAGCTATAGCTGCCCAAACGGCTTGACTGAATGGATTGAAATGTATTTGAGGGAACCCTTGAGTAACATATTTTTTTTCAAACTTAATTTTCTAAAATTCTTCAGCTAGTATTAGAT